CAGGGTCTCACCGTCCGGGTCCAGATATGGAACCACAATGAAGAAATGCACTTGTAACTGACCAACTCAGGTTTTTGGACGAGGCTAATTTTGAATCATCTGCAGGCTAACATTTTGTTATTCTTTAAATTCAAGTTAAACGTCTAAGTGTAATTGGCTACAGTTAGGCCTTTTCTTGAGTTATTAAATGAACTTCTAACTTTAATTCTGACTATTGATCCATCATTTCTACACTGTGCTTAACATACACATTGTTCTGCACCTAACTGGAGCCGTATGGTAATTTTTTACTAACCTTCTGGTTTGATTTATGTTAACGTTCAATGTATTAATTATTGAGCTACAGCAGCTTGAAGGAATATTGCTGGTTTTGGATTGTTGTTTCACCATCTATGTTGTTAGCTCTTCTTTAGCTACAGTGTAGCATTACAGGAGCTACTCTTGGACAATTTGGTCCTAGTCCATTAATTAGCTCATTTTTGCTGAATGTTACAGTATTGGTGGTATCAGCAGCCACAGTGAAGCCGTGAGCTGGTTCTACACAGACGTGTGTTCTCCAGTTCGTCTAAAAAGGATTAATCTGGTTTTTCATCTCTCTCTCAGCACCTTTCCCTGCAGAAAACCATCTGTGGAAAAGGGGAGGGGGGGGGGGGGGGTCCGTGAGTTTGGTTCTTTCTGCATCAGAGGTTGAACCTGGGTCTGATTCATGCTTCAGGGCCAAATCGTCTTGTTATGGTCTAACAATGAAAAAAGGGAAATTTACTTGTAACTGACACGAACACAGACATAATGGGATTTAATTTACCTGAATCCTGTTACAGTAATGATAAAAACAGAGGTTTAAGGTACCGGGCCACACATTAGCTCATTGTTGGAGCTGGGTTGGACTTTAGCAGCAGCTCAGTGAGGAATGCAACCACCACAAAAGAAGGTGGCACTGACGCCTCTGTTGGAAAAAAAGAAAAGAAAAATACAGCCAAATTACACGTTTGTGGCTCAGGAAGAGAATTCAGTTTAATCTGAATTATGACCTTTTAGCAATTGTTTCCAAATATGTCTGACTGAAGTCATTTGGGGTCTAACTTTTGCTCATTTGTTTGGCTAACCATTAGCTACCTACTTAGCTATTCTGTAGGTAACTACGTTTTGTTATTGTGGTATCTGTTTTAACTTAGCATCAGCTACTTTAGTTAAACTGCTCTGTTTAATGTTTTGTTATTGTAGGGAGAGCCATAACCGGCTGATCTGCCGCTAAACTGCTCATCTAGAACTGCCGTTTCTCAACCGTTTCTGCCTGGGCTGCAGCTCATCAACACTGCTGTTGGTCCGCTGTTGGTCCGCTGTTTGTCTGTTGTTTGTCTGTTGTTTGTCTGTTGTTTGTCCGTTGTTTGTCTGTTGTTTGTCCGCAGCCCTACTTCATATTTGTCCCGTCACACTAACAGGCCGGTGATGCTGAGCTGTTGTTAATTTGTTGAAACAGTTTTAGTTTTTACCTGGTGTCAGGGAGAGGTTTTACTGGATTTTTAAATATATCTGGTGTCAGGGAGAGGTTTTACTGGATAGACTTGAGTGGTGACTGGTGACAGTCTTCACAGATGAACCTTCCATACATTAGGGGCCACACATGGATTTCTATGGTGTTGTACTTTAATGTAAACTGCATGTGTTACTAGAATTACAGCTGTGGATGCTGCTGTAGGCCACTCACACACACTGTTCCCACTCTGGGACTCAAGACGTTGTACATTTAAGGATCCCCAGGCCAAACATTATCTGAGACGAAATATTTCTAAACACATACGGCCTCATAAACTACACACAGCACTTTAACACCTAGGACAAGACGGCACTGTTTCCCACAGTGTGTCTACAGTATCTGTGGACTCTCTAATCCAATGAAATTCATTCAGTTTGAAAATCTTCCAGTCAAATTGATGTTCTCTTTGTTCAAGCCAAGCAATAATTAAGGTATTTGGTAATTGAGCTGACATCACAGAGAAAGAATGATTCTATTTGAACTAAAATACACATAAGTACAGATTCCCCTTTTTAATTTTCATTTTTTGTTCTTATAGTCAAGTGTGGCAGTTTTTCCAATCAAGACGTTTGTAAATCACACAGACCTTTGCACTGAAGTCCACAGAGAAATTCAACATTTTTAGCTCATTTTTAGCTCTGAATCTGAAGTCAGAGTCATTACTTACAGCAATTCAACAGACCAAAAAAAAAAAAAAAAAAAATAATTCAACAGACCAAAACAAAAAAACAAAAAAAAGCAAATTATCCCTTTAATTGTATTACAGTCCTACTCTGACCTCCTCATATGTGTCAAAGTGACTTATTTGCATCAACATGTCTGCGTGCCTCACTTGGCCACATGAAGCTGGCTCTCCACAGCCAACACTTCCTTCCCCATGCAGTAAAACCTTCAACTTCCTTCTGGATTCTGTTTTAAGCAAAAGCATAATTTGTGCAGATAGATCTGTGCTACGGAGACACACTGATCCTCCCTCAGGATTTTATACTTCTCCACCTTCTGTCCGCGGTTGCGTTTGGACTCGTGTTCAGCTTCATAAACGATTCACAACACGCTGAGAGAGCACGGTCCACGGCTTTAAATTTGCACAAAAGTAAAACCGAGGGCCAAACTTTGGGAGACTAAATAACAGGTGGAGACAATTCCGGTCTCGCAGGTCAGGAAGCATTATGCACAAAGGACTGTGGCATTACGCGTACGCATGCATCCATCTTTGATTCCCGCTCCTCTCCACCTTGTAGCAATCTGCTGCAGGCCGTGCATCAAATCAGCCGTTCAGAGCGCTGATTGAAACAGCATGGAGGAGCAGGATTTGTACAATACACGGCAACACGTTCTTTACAGGGATCCCACACATTCGTAGTGACGGGGAGGATGAGCTTTATGGGATGTGATGGACGGACGGAGATGCGGCAGAGATTTATGTCTCTGGAGTGGTCCGCTGGGAGGCGTAAAGTAAAAGATGGGAAGAAGAGATGAACGAGGAGTGAAGGGTGAAAGAGGAGGATGAGGGGAAACAGAGTGCACCTCCTAAACAGAGGAGACTGGAGAGTGGAACTGTGGGAATATTCCAATTCCACTCATTCTCTTAATCATAATAAAGTCAAACAAGACGTCTGAAAACACAGATAGGAGTTGTTTCTGCCAAAGTAGAAACACGATCAATATTATCTCATTCCTCTCTGATCACCTGACACTGGTTGGATCTCACAGGGAAACACATCATTCCCACGTTTTCCATTTCCACGTTGTACAGTTGGGAATAACTGAGGCCTGGCTGTTACTCTCCATTATTGACCTCAGCAGGAGTGAACGCCACAGTCATCACCAAGAATGTGGATGACCATGGGCTGAACAGCGTCATTTCTGTTCTAGTTTATAGCTTTTTAAAGTGGAGCTGCTGTGGGAGCAGAAATCATCTCATTGGAGAAACGTTTTACAGTACAGTTAGCTACACGCTCACAGCATGAATGTTTTCATGCCATTTTCTTTTACTCATTCTCACTTATTTTCTGACCAGATATCTAATTAGTCTGATTTTGGCTGATTGTGGTTGTTATATTTTGGCTGGTTTTAACAGACTTTTATTCAAGTTCTAATTGTTTAGAAATGCCTTTTTAAAAAGTCAAATTTTGCTCTTTTTTTTCTATGCCATATAGAAAACCTCAGTGAGTTTTCAGACTTTTCTTGGGTGTCTCCATGTTTTTGTATAATTTCTTTCCTTTTATTCTCTTTTTTACAAATGTTTTTTCAAACGTGGCTGATTTTCTAGGCCAGTCTGAGCCGTTGTACCTGTGGGGATCAGTACTTGGTTTTCTTAAATGGATTTGATCTAATTGTGTCTTCCACATAGGACGAAACACCAATTTAAAACGCAGCAAACCTGCTGCACATCTCCTCTGTCCAACTTCAGTGACCTCTTCAGTGAACTTTGGTCGGTTTTAAAACTTAAAGTTAAAAAAACCCCACAGCAATTCATCTTTTATCTTCAGGGACTTGGACATGATTTTGGATAAAAGTTGGTTTAACACATGCTATCTGGAAAGAAAAAAAAACTTCAACAAAGAGAAACAGAACAATCACTAAGTGTCTGAAACAGAAAGAAAACATAAAGTGTTTTATTAGTTTAAATCCGAAATCAAAGACAGAATAATATTATATTTACGGTGTGGTTACCATCAGAGCAGAGTTCCTTCTTTGTTGGTTGGATGACTTTGGAACACCACCGCTCCTGGGCCGCTGCCCACTCAGATGATTTCTGCCTCTGGAGCAGCTCTGTCCAACAGGAACTCTGTCTCTAAGTAGACTACAAACCTCAAGCTGCGAACGCTAATGGAACCTGAGGGGGTGGTTGAAGGATGGAGTGCAGGGGCTTTTGTTGAGGGGGGGGGCAGGGCTGATTGAGGGGCAGGAGAGGAGAGGGGAGCAGCGGACCCATAAACGTGGCCCGGGGCAGATTTTCAGGGTTAGTTTCACAGAGGCTGATATTAACTGCTGCGGCGAGGTGGAGGGTCTGAGTGAGGTGTGTTTATCCTGGACAGGGAGGCTGGAGCTGGAGCTGGAGGTGGAGCTGGAGCTGGAGGTGGAGCTGGAGCTGGAGGTGGAGCTGGAGCTGGAGGTGGAGCTGGAGCTGGAGGTGGAGCTGGAGCTGGAGGTGGAGCTGGAGCTGGAGGTGGAGCTGGAGCTGGAGGTGGAGCTGGAGCTGGAGGTGGAGCTGGAGCTGGAGGTGGAGCTGGAGCTGGAGGTGGAGCTGGAGCTGGAGGTGGAGCTGGAGCTGGAGGTGGAGCTGGAGCTGGAGGTGGAGCTGGAGCTGGAGGTGGAGCTGGAGCTGGAGGTGGAGCTGGAGCTGGAGGTGGAGCTGGAGCTGGAGGTGGAGCTGGAGCTGGAGGTGGAGCTGGAGCTGGAGGTGGAGCTGGAGCTGGAGGTGGAGCTGGAGCTGGAGGTGGAGCTGGAGCTGGAGGTGGAGCTGGAGCTGGAGGTGGAGCTGGAGCTGGAGGTGGAGCTGGAGCTGGAGGTGGAGCTGGAGCTGGAGCTGGGTGCAGGACTGTGGAGGATCTCCAGGCTCTCACAGCAGATGGGTGGCCTTTACTGTACGTGTGAGAGCCACACATGTATACGTTCAGGCAGCGGATGTTCAATCTGACAGAATGATTATTGTCTCCAACGATGGTCTCTGGTCTCAGTGGGACCAGCTGTTAAAGACACCATTAAAATGACTTGAGTTCAGCTCTGCTGGAAGGAAACCTGGAGATAAGCTGCAGCTTCCAACTTTTACAAAAGGTGAGCCAAGGTCTGGTTCTGGGCCCAGTCATGGCATGGTTTTTATGTGACCTACAACTTATCCCCCTCTGTACGTTTCTACAGCGCCCCCAGTAGTTTAGGAAACAAGGATTTTAGTCCCCTGTCAAATATGTTGTAAATATGAAGCTTAACTGCAACATTTCGGAACCTTTTCCAGGTCTTTCTTGGATCCGTTCTGCAGAACAGGTTTAGGCTAAATTTTATTGACATAACCTTCAAGTGCTTTAGACATGAGGCTTCTTTGAATGTGGTTTCCCTCACTTCAGACCATATCCTGAATGACACTTTTATCAGCTTTGCTAAGTTTAAATGATGTCAGTACTAAACTGATATCTCAGCTCCTCTTCCTCTCCTACTGTAAAACAACAACCCTCACCTTGATTTATTTCCTCTGCTCATTTTCTCATGTATATCTGAACAGCATGTTGCGTCAGGATCCAAACCATTGACTTTTAATGGCGCGTGACTGGAGCAACAGCACAGCACATTTTGGCTCATTAACACACACCACGACGGATGGTTCGAACTGAGATTTGATTAAGGACAGAAAAAAAGTCCTCGTCTCACACTTGGCTGAAACCTTAGCAAAGATTTCATTAAAGTTTAATAATGAAATGGTACCACTAGGGGGTGACTGTGACTCCTGTGTCTCCTGTCTGAGGGCGCAACAATGCTAACAAAGAATAAAAATCTACATTTTTTGTACATATGCTTGAGTAACCTGCAGTGTCAGTTGGCCAGAGAGGAAACTCCAGTACACGTCATGTGAGCGTCCAAATGCTGCCGGAACACAAGGTGGAACAAATCAGTCCCTGAATAAAAACCACAAGTGCTCCACCAGTTATGGGAATAGTTATTCCTGACTCTGTCATTTTCTATGGCTTTATCATTCCTCAGTTTTTTAAAAATATTTAATACATTTTTGCTTATTAAAATATATTTTCCTAATATTTTTTAAATCATATTTATTTTCCTTTTTGATGTCTTATTTATTTGCAACCTTTAAATAAGTTCCTAGAACAGTTTGTGTCTTTGGCCAATATTTACAGTGCATCATTTTTGATTTTCGTTTGGTGATGTAGTATGAGATATATGCAGGTGGTGAGGTTGGCTAACTTTTAGGAACCTTTGCTTGCATTCAGCTAAAACATATTCTTTAGCTTGTTTGTTACACATATTTATTTGACCTTTTCATGTGTTTATGCCCCTTGGTTCTCACTTTAATAATAATTTTCTAAACTAGGTTTAAAAGATTTGATGATGTTCTTCTTGGTCCAAGTTCTTTATCCTCCTAATCTTCTTAAATTGTTCTTAATTTTCCACTTACCTAAGGTCTGTCCTTAGCCTGGATACAGGGGCACGGCTGTGCCAGGATGTTCTCCCAGCATTCAAACCATGCCAACCTCCTGATGAGAGAGGAACCCTTGGGTGATGTTTCTTATCACAGTAGGTGTAAATCCAGAAGATGGCAGTGATGAGCTTGTCCTGTAATTCTGCAAAAGAAGAGCGGATGATTGGTCGTCAGCTGCATGTGGGAACAAAGATGAAGGAAACACAGTCTCAGCACCAAATATGACATCATGTTTATACAAAGTCATTGGACACAAGCGGAGGAGATGTTTGTCATCAGTCCTCATGTTCAGTGGCTTCTGTGGTTTCACCTCTTCAAAGTCAAACTTCAAACGTTGGCTTTCATTTCAAGTGACAATTATTGACTGGTTTCACTTTCTTACTTTTATTTGTAACAAACCCAAACATGAACTGTGGGTATGTGTGTGTCTGTCTGGACGTTCTGCAGGTGGTGGCTGAGTGAGGGGGTCGTTCAGGAGTCGTTCAGGAGTCGTTCAGGAGTCATTCAGGAGTCGTTCAGGAGTCGTTCAGAAGTCGTTCAGGAGTCGTTCAGGAGTCGTTCGGGAGTCGTTCAGGAGTCGTTCAGGAGTCGTTCGGGAGTCGTTCAGGAGTCGTTCAGGAGTCGCTCAGGAGTCGTTCAGGAGTCGTTCAGGTTATGGAGGTAGTTAGCTGCTCGTTTGCTGTGGTTTCCTCCAAATGTCCAAAACAACTGCACTGTAGGTTAATTTCACACTAACTTTACCAGGTGTGAATTTGAGTGCACAGTGAATGGCTGTCTGAGACTGACCTGGTGAACTGTCCAGGGTCTAAGCCCACCTTCACTCACTGACCGTGACCTGTAACCCTGGACAGGACTAAATGATGAAAAGAGGAGAGGAAATGTATCATGTCAAACTGAAGTGCTCTGTGTGTGTGTGTGTGTGTGTGTGTCTGTGCATCATTAATGCTGAAAGCCAACCGACGAATGTCATCTGTTTCTCTCTGGTCATTAGCAGAGCAGACAGACCATCAGATTGTTGAACATTTGCCTGTATGTGTGTGTGTGTGTGTGTGTGTGTCTGCTGTTGTTAGCACTCCAAAACTGGTGAACTGCTTTGATTAAGACAGAAGATGAATTACAATTTGGACAAATACATTTTACGGCCCTGCTGGTCATCGGCGGTACTGCATCCTACTGTAACTACATTTTATTTAGGGGAGCTTTAATAGGTAACATTTTTGAATGGACCATTAGATCTAAGCAGAATTAAAATGGTCAGAGTTCAACTTCAGTGTGTGTACGTGTGTGTGCGTGTGTATGGGAGTGTGTGTTTCCCTGCCAAAAACAAATGCCCGAGGACACACAGCTGAGCTGGCTGCAGTTTGGACTGAACAAACTGTGTCATCTTTCCTGACGGTGATGAATACTGTGTTCATGACTCCAGCTCCAAGTTTCAGGACTGAATCTGTGTGTGTGTGTGTGTGTGTGTGTGTGAGTGTGTGTGAGCCACTTACCGTGCCCTCGCTGTAATTTCATCAGTCATAAAACCCTCAGACGTTTTGACATTTTCTTCCTGTAAAAAGACACAAAGACAGATGATCTTTGTTTCACTCCTTTGATTTATGACACAGTCTTCTCTTCCAAACCACTGACCACGTTTTTTTTAAATCCCTCTTGAACTGCACTTAGAGATCGTACTTTTGTATTTATAAGGTATGTATTTTATACATACTGTTCATGTACACTTGAGTGAGGACGAGGTTGAAAAGTACAACAGGAAGAGAGATGTTGAATAGACATTAAGCTGACACGACTGACGGATATTACAGTCAGCGGGGGTTACAGCCCATTTACTTAACCTCTGCTTTTTTAGGTTTTCCCTCCACACATGTAGTATTTTGTTTCCTCAGCCATTTTTCTCAGTATTGTGAAATCTTAAATTTACAGACCGTGGTTTAAACTGAGCAGAGGGGGCTGTAAAATAATGATAAACACTGAGTTAGAGCTGTGAAAATGAGGGGAAAGGTCGACAGGGTTGACAGTCACGTTGTTATTTATTATAAATATATATATAAAACAAAGTCAAACCATCACAACTGGCTGTGACAAATGTCCTATCAGCTTCATCCTAACATCAGGATCAACTTGTAATAACTTCACAATCTGCACATTGGCACTGCATTTAACGTTTTTTGGCTAACATTAAGCTACAGTTTCCCAACTCTTAGCTATTTTCTTCCCTTTATTCTTTTTGGTATTAACCATTTTGTGCTAACATTTAGCCACATTTTCACAGCTTTCACCAATTTTAAAATGAATTACTTTTGGGTTTAACATTGAAACATATTGGCTAATATTAGGCTACTACTTTTGCAAAGTTGTTGTCATTTCTTGCCATTTTTTACTTTGCTAACCTTTCATTAGACCTTTAACTATTTTTAATTAATTTGCTTTTTATATATATATATATATATATATATATATAAAAAAGTCAATCTTCTTTAAAGTGCAACCTGATTTGGTCATTTTGAATGGCGTCACACATCATTACGACAGTGTTAACTAAGTGCTAACTGTTAACAGACCAGTGCGTGGAACTCAAAGCAAAAGTGGAGTTTGTTTTTAAGTTTGCCAGAATTGGCACATCGTCTTTAAACATCGGTGCCGTTGGCATAAGAACAGCTGCAACAGCCTGTAAACGCCTCCTGATGATGTCATAGGAGCTTTATTGGCCCGTTTACATTAAACAATGAAGGAGAAAATTCAGCAGTGGAGCAGAGAAGCAATGAAAGTCTAAATTCATCATTCAATCAATTTGTCAGCAACAAAACTCCTGTTAAAGGGGCCTCAGTTTTCCAAGACAAGAACAATGGAAAAACTACAGGGAACAAACAAGAACTGCTGAATTTTCTGGTGAGAAAAAACGTCTCGATGGAGATGGAAGGAGTAAAGACGGAGAAACACCAACCGTCTGCAGGGACAGTGGTCATGTTGAACATGGACAACTGTCGCAATCAGAAAAGACGGGTCAGAGTCCTTTCACCTCAGAGTTCACAAGTGAACAAACGTTAACATTTTTTGACAATTTTTTTTCTCCTCCGTGGGCATCGGGTTATTGGCAGTCAGAGACGGTAGAGTCACGCAGCACAGATATGAAAACAACAGAGAACAGAGAAGAAAAACTTCCGTAGGTTTTACTTTACATTTGTGTTTCTCTGCCATAATTTCCTTTCTTATAAAAACTCACGGTGTGCACTGCTCTTCTGGGAAATGTTTGATTTTTATGACTCACGGTGTGCTCTTCTGGGAAATGTTTGATTTTTAAGAGGAAAATAAACTACTCTATGAAGAAACAACAGCTTTTTTGTTCATATTTTGTTCAGATTATATTGAACACTTTTTTGGCTTTACATATTTACGTTGACTATTTGTCTTTTTTGGCCAACCTTTAACTATTTTAAATCACTTTAAATACCATTTGGCAACTGTTAGCTCTTTGGGCACTTAGCTATTCATGACAAATTAAAGGCTAACATTTGGGCTAACCTTTAGATTTTTATTCTTACCCTGAACTATGAGTATGTTTGGTTTGATTGTTGAATTTCAGACCACTTTTGCCAGTCTTTGAAGATACAGTATCTGCCTTTCATTTTATCAACCATCCTACTTTTTCTTTTGGTTAAAGGCACACATGCCTACCTTACCAGGAATTTTAAAAAATGGGATAATTGAAAAATACTTTGCCCTCCAATTCTGTCTAATTCCTGGCCTTACATTTGAAGACAGTTTAGTGGAAGTCCATATTTGGGAGTTGTTTTGTATGTGACTGAGTGTCTGTGGGTTTTTTGACTCATTCTTTTTCACGGTTTGGAGCAAGATGACCTCGGCCCATGGGTTTGGAAGCAGCCAGTAAACACATGCAAACATTCCTACACACACACACACACACACACACACAGAGTTCTGTGCATATCAACTTATACAGGAGACATTTCTGAAACAACGTTGTTCATATCTTGTCTCTAAAACCAGGGTTGGTGGTTTTTCTCAGACCAGACCTGACCTGCTCGGTTCAGGGTATTAGAGTTTTGGTGGAGTGAATCAAGATTTATCAGCGTGTAGACAAACACCAACAGTTAAGTTCATGGTTTGGACAAAGGGGAGTGAATTTTTGTGTGCGGTTAAATCCGAGGCTTCTCCACATCCACCCCTGGCCTGGTGCATCTAATCAGACTAAATACTGTTTATATGTTCAGCGAGCGGCTGGTTTAAATGCTTATTTTGTTCTAAATCCCTGGCTGCGGCAGCGGCCGCCGCCGCCGCGTAGCTGCTGACGAAACCTGTGTGTTGTTGAATTCAACTGTATTTATTCCTTCATTCCAGTGAGCCTGCGGAGAATCAAACTAATCAGCAATCAATTACAGAAGGAAAATGCAGCTACGCTCCCTGACTGTGACCTACAGAAGCCAGATCAGGATCTGGACCTGGAACCAGCGATGTTCCCTGAAACGTACGAATGTGCTTGAAGTGGAGGGAAAAAAAATCTCCCATGTATTTATCTAGCATCATAAATAATCCCCGAAATAAAATCTATAAACCTTTACTGCCAGGAGCGCCCTCTGTGCATGATTCTAATGCTCTGCAAATCTGTTTCATTTACGATTTGTTTCATACAAGGATTGAGTGAAAATCCTGCTGCAGACACGTGTCTTTCCTAACATCTAATCCAACACAGAAACTTTTTTTCTTCATGTTGTTTGGAGGTAAAAATGAAATCTGGGTCAGATTAAATGTAGGCTCCAGATTAGGAACAAGTCGTGGAGGTTTGGTAACGGAACAGGGAATGTTTTTTATTTATGTGAAGTGCTCACAAAACACAACAACCTGCATGTGTGGATGTATATGTGTGTGTGTGTGTGTGTGCTTCCACTCACTGGCCCCACCCAGGAAATCTCAGCAGGAATCAAATGTGTTTTGTCTCGCTGCTGATTCAAGCAGTGTTACGCTGAGGCCCCACAGTCGTCATGGGTGGTCACCACTGGCACAGTGTATACACCGTCATACAGTACACACACACACACACACACACACACACACACAGAATCACAGTGCCAAATATGCACTTTTAAACATACCTTACCTTATACCACAGCAGTGTATAAATCTTTTTTTTTTTTAAAGCCTGTAGGCGTGTTTCAATTTTTTTTTGTTCGTATATATAGATATACGTGCAGTGGTGGCTTAAGGAAGTGGACTTGGGTCCTAAAGGTTTCAGGTTTTTTTAAAGGTTTCAGGTTCAAGTCCACCAGCTGCCACAGTTCCCACTGAGGTGCTCTGATCATGGCACCGTCCCCTTAAAGCTGCCCACTGTTCACTTTGGTGATGGGTTAAAAACAGAGGTCACATCTGGTTGTGTTGTGTCGAAGGAGGAGCTCAGTATTAGACAAATGATAATAACAAATCCAATTCAGGTATAAATAAAATAGTGTTACAAAGAAGAGGGCTAAAAGTTAGCCAAAGCTAATTTGCTAATAAAAGCTAACCCCACATGCTGAAACGACAGCCCAGCAGTGGCTAAAGTTGAACAACAGACAGCAACAAACCAAAACACTAAAGACATTTCCATCAGGCAGCAGGGCCACATAAACCCTGTCAGAGTCCAACAATTGGCCCCTGAGACAGACTTTGGACAAACCGGTTGCCAAAGTTGTTAAAACGTTCACACAGGTAATGGAGATGAATTACTGACTCGGTGTGTTGTTTTTGAAGCTGTGAGTGAACATCCTTCTCTCTTTACAGCCATCAGTGTCATCTGCCCCGTGTGGCCCCCGGGGGCCCACTGGCTGGTGCGAGCAGGCAGGAGAGGCTGCCGACATTCTCGTTAGCACCACAGCTATTTAGACCTGATTATATGGTTCCGACTGAACCATAAAGCTTCTGTTCATGAGTGATCACCAGGAAACCGAACCACACGTCCGTCCCACTGTCAGTGTGATGACAAACGTTGCCTGGTCAGCCAAAACACACTCTGCAGGAATGTGTGTGAGTGTGTGTGAGTGTGTGTGTGTGTGTGCATCTAATCGGAAGACAAATGCCATATTTTCAGCAGTTTGTTTTTACTGCACAGCAGGCGTGTGTGACTGTGTGAGTGTGTGTTTGTGTGAAGCAGTCTGAATGATTTTACATGCTTCACTGGAGGAGTTCAGATCAATGATTTATAAGTCACTTGTTTTTTGTGCCTCTTTATGTCGTCACTGTATGTACAAGTGTCAGGATTGATGTAAAAAAAGAAGGAAAATATGAGATAAAGAAAAACATGTGACTTGTATTGAAGTTGAACGGCTCACAAATGAAAAAGTCACTGATGAGATTGTTCTACATTTCCAGTAATAAAGACATCGGCAGACGGATCGACAAAACCAAACTAACTCAACAAATAAGAGTCAGAAATGCTAAAAGTTATTAATGTTGTCGTTGTCGACAAACAAATACTGCTAAAATACAACAAAAGTCAAAAAATCTTAACTACCTAAAGACTCAAAATTAAAAGTGTGCTAACCATTAGCAGTCTAACTACAAACTATTTTGTAGATTTCTATATATCTTTTTAATTTTTTTTTAAATATTTCTCTGTCTTTTCATTTCATAATTTCCACTTCCTGCAGATGCACGGAGCTAAACATCTTCAGATTTACTCTGACGTTTGCCTGACGTTCACAGGACTATTTTCATCCTCCATCTTAAAGAATATAATCCAGATGGAGCAGCGACTAAACTGTAAGACCTTTTGTCTGAATCACCAGACAAACTCAGTCTATTCCGTCAGACTTTCATTATTGTATTTTTCAGTGACACAGTTTGTGACCTTCTCTGAGTACAGGACGCCGTAACCATGTCCACTCATTGTTTTCTGTCTGTTTTCGCCTTTTTTTCAGTGCCAAGCAGATGAACTGGAGTAGGAATATAAAACCTAACAGAGCGGAGCATGTGTGAATAATTATAACACATCAAAATTTATACTCCTATAGTCAGTGTCTGGACCTGAAGTCACTTTCCGTCTCATTTTCCTGGTCCTCTCCTGTCTTTGAAGATGAGTCCTGCGTATAAACTCTGTCCTTCTACTGATGTCAGTGTTGGCTGTGAATCTAAAACCCTGCTCTTTATTATGTGCTGAAGTAATCTGATTACTTTTTTAAAGTACTGACTGCAGTGTAATAAAAACAAGTCTAAATACTGCGATATCATTGTCCCGCAACATAGAATCTCTTCTTCGTAGTAGAAGACAATACTTTGGTTGTCAAACGTCCATTTTATGACACAGTGGAACCTCGAGATATGACTTTAATCCACTCCACAACAGCATTTTCCCCATTAAAAATAACTAAAAATTCATTTGTTCTGGCCCCCCAGAAATATATACTGTATACACTGTAACATACTGTTTATTAATTAAATTAAAATTCCCACCTTATCTAAACATCAAAAACATAGAGATAAACAAATATATTGATGATATAAAATAATAATAATTAAGAAAGAAAACATTGATGTTTCCCCTTATCACAAGGTAAATCTTGCAAAAGCTGCAAGTTCTACACAGATGAATGAGTCACTGTTCCCTTCATGGACCAAACCGTTGGAGGACGCTCCTTTTACACCTTAACTTTTATGCTCAAACCTGGACTAACATTGAAGAATGCTGCTTTTGTGATCACTCTGTTCAAACTTTTCTTTAGTGTGTTGCTAATCCAAGCCTTTAATTCAAGACACAAGAGTTAAATGGCTGAAAACAGTGCACGGTTCCGACCCAGTTAAAGCCCAGCAGGAGTCCTGCTCTCTGCCTGCGTGAGGGGAAAAAAAAACCTCAAAATAGCACAACTTTACTGGAGGCCAACTTGCAAGTCAGAGATAATTGAGGCCATAAAAATGTTTGTCATCTTCCAGAAGAGAAAGTTACTAATCTACAGAGATAATTACTGTGATTATGAATATGGTCTTTTCATTACAGTAGAGAGGATGTTTGAAGATTCAATGGTTTAAAAATACCTGCAGGCCAACAGCTGCTCCTGTGAGATATGGTTAGAAAAGTAAACACGCAGTATTTTACCACATTCATATACTGCCTAATATATGAAAGGATCAGAGGACGAGTCCTGGCAGCTCTACAAATCATTCAGCTCCCAGTTAAACCTAGTTACAGGTTGTGAAAATGAAGATCTGAAATGATATAAAACATACAATAAAATTATATAATAAGATAATATAATAGCATAGGTAAAAAAAATGGTGCCAAATTATTAAACAGAGCTGGAATAAAATGCAGAACATCAAACTATTGAAGTTCTTCTTTTAAAATCCTTCTTATTGTCAAACCTTCCTCAAATACAATACAATTTCATGTTGTTGTTTGAACTGCCCTTCACAGCATCAGCTACAGTGTGAATGTACAGCCGGTGTGTACAGGAGGTGAGCTGAGATCTTAGTAGAACATCTGATTGACTTCCCAGTGTTGTCATTCCTGCAGCTCTGCCTCTGTCAACACACAACGTCAGCTCCTGCTCAGCAGGGATTTTCCCACTACATTCATCAGTGTCTGCCTGTTGAACACTGTGGTGTCCCACAGACCTCACTGCTGTTACAGAGACATGGACTTGTCTTTGAGTCAATCAGGTTTGTTTAAACAAGTGAGAACTTAGGTTACTCCTGGATCGGCGTTCTGGCCACTGTGCACGGCTCACTTTCCCATAAGGCACTGCAGAACGTCAGGCAGCGGACCACCATTGTTCTGAGAGTGTGGTGTGTCTCTGCTCTAAGAAAAACAAAACAAAAACAAACGAGGTCCGTGTCGTGACCAGGGAGTGTCACACACAAGTACACACTGTCATAACATGCAGTGAAACCAACCTTTGTAGGTGAAATTCACTAGCACTGTTGCTAACTAACCACACCATCATCAACGTTTGACATCATAGGAAGGAATCACCTCAGGGGGGCGCCAAAATTAAAAAACTTAAATATCTTTAGAACTTAAAATTAATTTTGTTTTTTTTTTTGCCACAATTGTACCCCGCCCCTTATTTTGGCTTTTTTTTATTTTACTTGGTTATAAAATGAAAACATTTGGTGGAGTTTGACAGCAAACGGGGGGCATCCACTACAACTACCAGAAATGCTGCCGCTTTAAGCATTAAATATACCTGGACTATTGATATAACATGTCGTCTCGTGGACAACGCGTCTCATTGTCCTGCGTGTAAATAACAGCAGGACACGTATCACACTCTGCAGCTCTCTTTAAAGACCACGTTGTGCAGCTACGGGAATAAATTCACAGGGAAATGCGGCGTCTCCCAGAGGACACGGACGCAGCACTTCCACACCACACACTTTGGTATGTTAACAAGTCCAACAGTGGTTCTTTGTTGGCAGACGGAGACACACTCCCTGTGTGACACCGCAGGCCTCACAGAAAACACACACACACACACACGAAGAGAAGTCAAACCCCAGTGGAGGCAGCCTGCTGTTACAGCAAGGATGGGGGACAAAAGGGGGAGGAGGGGGGGGGGGGGGAGAATCACTTGTACACAAACATAAACAAACACACACACTTAATAAGAGGCTTCTCTCATCCACTGCTGCGGCTGAAGCCAGGAGCTGATGGTGGGAGAGTGTGTGCATGGATCTGTGTTATACTGCATGGGTGTGTGTGTGTGTGTGTGTGTGTGTGTGTGTGTGTGTGCGTGTGTGTGTGTGTGTTTAAAGAGGTCATAATGGTGAGAATTAAAGGCTTCACTGAGTTCTGGCCTGTGGTTTCCAAGACTACCGCAGAAATTTGTGTCAACAATCTGTAGAAAAACATCATGTCCCTCTAAGTACCAGCAACTGTTTGTAGGAACTAAACAGTTCTCGCTCACAGACGCTGCCTGGGTTTTAGCTACATGAATAAAATCCTTATTAGATTAATAAATGTGCACTTACAGACACGCCCTCGTCTCTGATTGGTCCATTATGGTCAGCTGTAGAAACCATTCAGAGGCGATGCCTGTGTTGCCTGCACTGTCCTAGGAAAAAAAAAAATGGAAATGAAATCATGCAGATGTGAAGAGATCGAGTGTTAACAAAGACAGAAGAGGAGCTTCCACGGTGACAAGAACCAATCAGATCAGGGATTTAACACAGTATTACAGACCGTACTGACTATTCTATAATGTCTATAAAACCATATTATCTGCTACGTTTAAACGTTTTATTTGGAATTAAATAGTTCAAAGTCTTTTTGTTTTTGTTCTTGAAGGTTGAAGACCTTTTCCTTAGATGATGCTGAGTCATGTGATTTTTGGCCAATCAGGGACATAAACCTACAAACCACTGCATTTAAGTGGTCGTAAATTCTTCCACATCCACTGTTTGGCTTCGACAAGACCAAAAGATGAAACTGAATCCAAGATGTATCACTGCAAAAAACTTTCCAAGAACGAAAAAAACAAATGTCCTGAGAAACAATAGAAACTCCAGGATCTGGGCTGAAGACTAGACCGGAGTGAGACAATGGACGGAGAGACAGGAGCTTTTAACAGACAGACATGATCTGAAATGAGATTTTACAGCAAAAGCAGGAAAACATTTCTGTTTCTTCTTCCTTCTCACTTTTCAACAGTTTTCATTGGCCTGACGTGAGACGTCCAGAGTCCAGGAAACTCAAACTTCACGGACCTTCACAGAACGTTTATCCAAATCATCATTTAACAAAACAAATATCTAAATAAAGAGTGTTTTCTACATCTTTGCCCATGCATTCCAGAGGAATGAACAAACAAAACTGATGATGAACGATACAATTATTCACCTTCCACAAACCGTGCAGCTGTGCCTGCTTAAAGATCATTCTGGAAGCCCTGCACTGGGCCATTTACTCAGCTACAAACAGAAAAATACAATTTAAAAAAAGATGAGGGAAAAAAACCCCAAAATGTCTCCTAATCAGGTTCAGATTTGTGTTACTCATCAACTGGAGTTTTTCTTAGCTTTATAGAAGCCAGGCTGTTTCACTTAATGCTGATTTAACTGCTGATGCTTCACAGTCCTTACAGACACAATAATGTGTTTATTTAGTCGCAGGCAATAAAGACCTGCTCTGGTGCTGTTCATTAGCACAGCAGTGATGGTAAAATAAATAACAAATCATTTACATTCCAAATGTGTGAATAAAAGCTTGATTTTCTTTATGCTAAAATGTCATGAAATATTGATGTTCCATTCAGTCTGGTTAGTGCTCAGTGTTCACAGACAAAACAGCTCTGAGTCAGTTCCACTTTTATAACATTTGATTTCAAATAAAGCAGGTTGTTCCACTGCAGCTGAACTTATTTCATTAGAAAATATAATAACTTTTGGCCCGGTTTCATCGTAATGTCTTAGGCTAAGAGCCCCTAACATTTTTTATTTTTTGTTGTTGTTGATATTCATGTTATTTTTAGCTGAGGAGGATAATGAAGGAAAGTTTGGAGACATTTCGAGGTGGAGTCCATTTTTTTATGTCTTTCTAAAAATCCTAAATATCTATAAATATGAAACAATCTTTTTGACAGAGTTATGATTTGAAGTTGTCCAACCCAGTTTTTTTTTTTATTATTTTTGTATAGCTATTTGTTCTTTGTTCTAATGAACTAACGTCTCTCTCTCTCTCTCCGACACTTCAGTTCAAACTAAAGATATTCAGACTGTTTTCTGTCTCACCTGGCCGACTCACTCATCAGTGTCATATTTCCTCCTCAGACACAGTCGCCCACATACAGTGTGTTTTCTCTTATCAGTTCACAGCACAGAGTGAGGTCACAGAGGGAGCACGTCAGTCAAAGAGCGGTCTTCACTCACAATGATGACAAATTGTTCAGATCGGTCTGTGTCTCCGTTCAGCCAGCGCTCAAGTCCAGACCTGGCTGTTCCTGAACGAGGGTTCCTGCAAGTGGAGATGGATGGAGATAAATGGAGCTCAGGTCACAGTCAGCTAGATACATGTCGAGTGGTCTCATGTCCCAGCTGAGGTACTGTAACAGTGTTTGACACCACCTGTTCCTGACAGAAGCTCACCCTCCTCACCCTCCTCACCCTCCTCACCCTCCTCACCCTCCTCACCCTCTTCACCCTCTTCACCCTCCTCACCCTCTTCACCCGCAGCCTGGCTGACGGGCTTGTTTCCAGAGACACAAACATTCAGTAACCAGAGAGTGTGAGACCTGTGAAGACGATGTCTTTATCATCAGTGATGGATGGACGTCTTCTCATGTCTCTTCTCCAACCTGAGCAGGAATCTCTTCTTCTCTGCAAAAATATTTTTTGCTTCTTCAAAGTCTTTTTTTGGTCCCTCTTCTTGAACCTTTTATTTCCTTTTCCTTTCTTGTGTTTTATTATAAGTTACAAACTATAGACACTTTTAAATCAAATGATCGAAAACGTTTTTTCCATTTCAGAGAGGCTAATGTTTTGTTTTGAAATCTATCTAAATATCTAAATACTAATATTAAGTATCTACTTGTTCTGTTAAAAAAAACAGAAATATATAAATAAGGGAAATTAAAATATTTCATTAGTGAATTGATTTGGAGTTGGTGTCAGCTCCACACAGGAAAAGTCACACTGAACAATAATATACATTTTCGTAGAAATCTCCACACAGGAAAAGTCACACTGAATTCTTTCTTTTCTTTGTTGAACAATAATATACATTTTCGTAGAAATTACAATATTACAAATAAAAATTCAGTGGAGTTTTGAATTGAACTGGGGCCGAAGCACATCTTTTCAAAATCTCAAGGTGCAACAGACTGAAAGCGCAGGAGCAAAAAGAAGACTTTTTACTCTATAATCGGATCGGTGGTGCAGCAGGAGCTTCCTCAGCAGGTCGTCGGCCAAGTCACAAATGAACATTGATTTGGGAACAACAGAGGCCTTTTGTCTCCAAGGGGCTGGGATTCTTTTGCCTTCTTTTTCTCTTACAGCTGTGGAGCCACTTGGCTCGGCGTTCCCTGTTGTTTTTCCAGGAGTAAAAACTTTTCATGATGAAATAGAGCAGAAGTGTACTGTACAGCATCTCTGGTCGTTCCACTGGATCTCATTATTAATTCTCAATGAAAATGTATTTAAACAAAGACTTTTGAGCCTGAAAATCAAACTCTGCTGACAAATCCAAATAAAGAATCTTGAATCTCAAAGTCTCATTTGACATACACACACACACACACACTAATCTTAATTCACACACACCTGCGACATGTCCCCACAGAGACAGTGTCCACTCAACAGTTGGATTCTGCCAAAGTGTAGTTATACCAGTAAGACACACAGACTCACAGATGTGGAGCTGACGGAGGTTCATGGATGTCAGATGATGAAGTGCGTCTGGGTCATTTCCACACGGACGCCGCTCCTGCCTGCAGAGAGAACACCGATATCTGATCTTCATATTTCTGTCACCTGGCTCTTTACCCATAAGCCCCCTCTACCTGTCTGTTCATAAATAAGCCTGTGGATGTGGCGGTGGCGGCAGCAGCAGACGGCGGCGTGGACTGCGGGAGTTTCCTTACATCACTTTTATACAACATGTCATTCCGTCTGAGACTCAGTTTTCAACATCTGATGATGGAAGAATGGGCCTTTTGTCTGGAGGAAACAGAAATAGTGTTTTTGATACCAGAAAAAGGAGAGGCTTTACATGTTTTTACAGTTACTGCACTGACGCAGTACCTGGAGGTAACGACCTCACCTGTCAATCAGGCAACAAAAACCCTGGAAAATATTAATAGAGATGAAAAAACAACACATTCTCAAAATGTTTACATTTTTACCTTTCCTGTAATTAATTTCCATTAGTCGTCAGATGTAGATTCAGAAAACAAATTGGTAATGTTACATTTATGTCTTTTTACTGTTTCATTTTTGTCATTTTTCCCATTGTTATTAAAAATAGTCTCTGCATATTTGGTAGCTGTGATTAACTTTTCTTTTCCCTGTAGTGTCTGGAATTGTCCATTTCTATTCTGTCTCATTTGTGAGAATAACGTAACTCTTGGTTGTCACATTGTGTTGTCTCTGATTTGTTTCTGTTTTCGTTCTTTTTAACTGTGTTTTACCAGATTAACTCCACAGAAGTTTCCCTTCTCAGTCCCCCGGAGCGTGGAGTTTGTTTCCTCACAGACGTTGGTGTTAATTATGAAACATCAAGTGGAGGAGAGTCGGCGCTTCTGAAGCTGAGCTATCAGATGTCTCACAGAGAGGTGTTTGGCACAGAGTGGCTGACTGGCTTCACTCCTGCACACACACACACACACACACGGGCACACAGAGGGACAGTCAGCGCGGGTGACGGCGGGCGGTGAAAGTGCGAGCGTTGAGCCGAGAGTTCCTGCCTCGGTGACATTCCACGGAGCAGGAAGGACGAGGGGAAACAGACTCCCGTACACAGCCGTCACATCACAGTACGTTTGCAGTATTGGGTGTCGCCGCGGGTCAGGACTGGGTCACATGATCGTTAATGGCAACCTGAGATTCAGAGGGAGTGTGTGTGGAAGTGTAGCTGCGCCGTGTGTGGTGGAAGGCTGTGATTACTGATATAATTCAATCAGAACCAGACAAACCCATGGACTGTGTGTGTGTGTGTGTGTGTGTGTGTGTGTGTGTGTGTTCATGCTAAGTGAGTCTGTAACAATAGAACAAGTGGTTCATTAGAGTCTGTGGAACCAGAACCTGACCGGTTAGAAACATAATTGATTTGGCAGATGCCGAGGTAAATGGAGTGTGTACTGTATAGTACTGTAAAAGTACTGTGAATGATGTATTTGTGTAGTCCTGCTGCTCACTCAAGTACTTTACCTTCCACCTTTTTATTCACATTTTTAGACTTAAACCCGTTTTTTTCCATCACACACCTGTCACACACACACAGCCGTAGGATCGACTTTAGGTTAATGATAGAACCCATTGATACTTGGGGGCTTTGACCTTTGACCCCTGTTAAACGTTGACCTGCTATTTGACCATTTAAAAAATAAGCCTTGTATTTGGTCTCCCTACACCTAAACAACTGAGAGACCTGCATTTAAAAGGAGTTCACTTTCCATAACCTCCCTTGTAGCATTATCACAGCAGTTCAGGTTTGTCTTTGTACTCAGATTCAGGCTGCACACATTTGTTGCACATTTCTGTTTGTTTATTTATTTTGTGTTTTTATATTAAATGGCTGTCTAGGGTGGGACGGGAGGGTTATGGGAGTGTTGTGTCGTTTGGTTTCTGTTCTGTTTATTTACTTGTTAAAATAAAAAGATTTTAAAAAATATGTTTTGGAATCTTTTCAGCTGGAGCTACCAACTCTGGGCACTTTGTAATTGTTCTGTTATATATTGGAGAAAAATATGCAACAAAGTAATGCAGGAGAATTGACAGTGATAATGTTTATCCAACAGTTAGCATTAATAGAATCTTTGTTCATTTAAGAATACAACTGGAGCTTGTTGTTTGAAAGGAAATTACAAAATAATTACAAAAGATGAAAAAAAAAGGAAACACATTACAAACGTTGTTCAGTAATGGCAGGAAGAGAATGTGATTCTACAGGCATTTCTGGAGGGTGGGATAATGACGACTTGAGTTAAACGTCTGTGGGTCGAGCTGAAGACAGACGGGCTCAGAAACACAATATCAGCTCAGACGTTTCACTCGGAGGAAAAAGGAGGGGAAAAAAAAAAATCCCAAAACCTCAAAAACCACCCAAACTGAACGGCTGGTCAACTTACCATTAAACAGCCGTGATATGATGTCAGCGGAGCTGATGTTTGTATGAAGGGCCTCAGTTCCATCGGAGCCAACATGTTGGCTTTGAGTGTTCCCAGTGGGAATCAGACCATTAGAGCCATTAACTTTTGTCCCAGGAGAAATTCTGCAGCCAGCATCGGAGGGGAGACTGTGGAGGAAAGGAAAAGCTGAAGCGTCTTTTTTTCTGAAAAAATTACCTTTGACACTTTTGACAGTACACACTATCAGAGGCGGAGGACGCCCATGTGTTTGACATTTGAAGAAACGTGCTTGCCTGCCTTCTTGAGGAACACTGAAGGAGAAGATCAATGGGAGTCTTAATAATCCACAGCGAAGGATGAATGGAAGACACCGTCAGCAGTTGGTTGGATTACGTTAGAGACGCAACGTCATTAATTAACCATCACAGAAAGACACAGATGAATTGACAAAGCACAGGCTGTGTTTAAATCCAGGGGCCTCCTCCAGGGGGCGTTTGAAGATGTCGTGATTATGTCGACAAACTCTTATTTCCGCACTTGGAATTTTCTAATCTGCTCCTAATATTGTAGACGTGGTATCTATTTTGGCCCTAATCCCATTGTCAACCTGTCCACATGGGACACTGCCCCCTACTGTGTCTTTGTTACAAAAAATGACTCCATAAATGACTTACTGTAGTAACCCCTACTACATGTTTATATAATAAGAATCCTACACAGTCAAAGCTCTGGGTGATTTGAACACTAATATTACGACAATATTTATGTGTCATCACTACGTCAGTGACTTCATCTGAAGCTCTGGAGTGAGAAGCCAGAAATAAATTGGATTATTTTGACGACAGTGTGGGTAGCATCACTTAATCATCTTTATGACATATACATTGTAACAGCTAACTTATTTTCCAGACACTTCAGTGCATTCATCCCTTTCCCTGCTATCAGTGCTGGGAGCAGCCGTCGCCTCCTTTTCTCCTTCACTCATCACCTCTCAGAGACAGGAAACAATTCACTAACCCCTCTCACTGCCACTCCAGTTGCTCCGTCTCCAGCAATTTGGCTGAAGATTCTGATAAATACCATGACGATTCGTGTACAGCAACACGCAGACATATCGTATTAGCCTCAGTGTGATGAAGTGTGCAAATGTGGGGAGTAAATCTCCGGCCCTTGACTGAACAGGGAGTGCAGTATCCTCCTTAAGTCCCTTCAAAAGCTGCAGCATTCCCTCATGGATTCATGAAAAGAGCCCATTTATAGACATGGAGGAAAAAAACTAATACTTTTTTCAACAGAGTTTTAAAGTGTGGCCGCCAACGAAAACAATGATTCCCGGCCAGAAACAGCCCAGTCAGTAACGCAGTCGACTTAATTCCATTCTCTCGCATGAAAAGAGAATTAAAAAAAAACTACAGGACGGGCTCAAAGAAAAACCTTGCTGTGTCCGAATTGTGTGCAACTGGCGAAGGCAGCGACATACAAAGTATGAGCCGGCACGAAAATCAGCATGAGGCTAAAATCACACCACGGGCCATCGCCGCAGGGCAGCAGTACGTCACAGGGATAGGACGTGTGATTTATGGAGAAAGTGGCCGGAATTCTGGAAAAAAGAAAAATGTAGAAAACTGGAGATGGAAGTGAAGAGAATGAGAAACAGGCAGAGGAGAGAAGTAAAGAGTTGACAAAGGGGCCAAGGGAGAGAAAGATGGAGAGCGATTGGTGCCAGTCGCCGCTCCATTTGCTCCATTAATGCTGAGAGTAATGGTCTGAGTGACTGAGGGATGATGGGAAAATTGTCCTACCTCGTAGGGGAGTCGTTGGGGTGATGCATAGCAACGAGGACAAACTCAGTGCTTCATCCTCATCATCACAGCCATTAACAACAGGAGGCCTTTACTGTAAAAGAGGTTCACCTTCACAACACAGACCTGAACCTGACGGCACACAGTCCACTCTATTGTTAGATCAACAACTTAGCTGCAGACTGTACCAAGCTAGGCAAACTCTATTGTTAGATCAACAACTGCTCATGGTTAGCTGCAGACTGTACCAAGCTAGGCAAAAATGAAACAGCTCAAAGTCACCAAATCAAAGTGTAACAAAAAAACTGCTAAAATCCTAGAGAGAAAACAATGTTTGAAACAGCATTTAAAACACTAATTAGATAAAAGGGCAAGGCCAAACAAGCTACAGTTCACAAAAACCTTTTTTTTAATATTTAAAAATAAATGTAAATTAAAAAAAACACTACAAACTAGTTTATAAATGGCTACAAATAAATAAGTTTTTACAAATCTAGCTTAAAAGCTAAATCTACAACAGGTTTTTGTTAAGAAATACATACATTTTGCTAAAACTAATAAATGGTAATAATAAAGTTAGCCTAATGCAGCAAAGCTATTAAAAAACTGAAAATAAGAAAGAAAAGAAACAAAAGCCAAATACTGGCTCATTTGGTCTTTTTCTTACTCCATAAAGGTGGAGATTAATGGTCTGAGTGACTGAAGGATGATGGGACTTTTTTTGGAGAGGAGTCATTGGAGTGATGTATAGCAGCGAGGACAGAGCTCAGAGCTCCATCCTCATCATCACTGCCATAAACAACAGGAGGTCTTTACTGTAAAAGAAGTAAAAGACCTTCATGACACAGGGCTGAACCTGAACTTCACAGTCAACTCATCTCTGCCTCCTTCTTTATAACTGTGAAAAAGCTGAGACGTACAGTTGAACGTTAGCCAAAGTGTGAATGTAAACTCAAACTGAACTTAAACTAGTAGCTAACAAACATTTAAGAGTAAAACAGAGGGGGAGGGGCCACCTTTATTGAAGCTTTTGATTTCAAACGTGTTTTTGTTTTTCAGCTCTACCAGTATTTTATATTTATTGTTACTATCATTTTTTTTACTTGTCTCCAGGGGTTGAGCCACGCACAATAATTCCTATGAGTCTGAACTGTCTGGTTTTGTGCACAAATGGCCAATAAAAATCTGATTTGGAAATAATTCGTAATACCTGACTAACAGATGAAAAAGCAGCTTTAGTATTTTTATAGGAAAAATGAGCTAGGAGTTAGCCAAGAGATGAATAAAAGAAGGTTGTGAAAGACCCTAAAATAAAACAGAATTTTAACAAATGTGTAGCTAAAGGTTGGCCATAAACTCAAATGTAGCTAAATAATAGGTATATCTGAGAGCTAAATGTTAGCCAGAAATAGTTCACAAACAGCCAAACCATAAATCATCTCAAACTATATCAGGATCTAAAATATTAACAACAACAAAAACACTCTAACCTATAGCCTAGAGCAATAACTTCACATCCTCGCTGGAGAGCCAGGCCCCCATGTTGGGAACCGATGCCCTGAACATCTCTGAGGTGAAACTAAAGTGTCAGCAGTGACATCACACACTGATGAGTGAACTCATCATGAAGACTGCAGCTGTTTTTGGCAAATGTCACTGTGATATTGTTGATACCAAAATCACCTTATAAGGGCATAGGTATGTGTGGAGTGAGAGTCGGTTCACACACACACACACACACACGTACAGTCAGTCTACAGCTCTATTTGGCCTTCAGCAGATCGACAGCAGTCTGTCCATCACCGAGATTTCTGAAGTCTCACTGCAAAAAAAAACACACATATTTATTTATACAGTATATATACAAATATATATATATATATATATATATACAGTATATATACATGTAAATTATAGAAAATGCATATTTATTGGTTTAATGTTTATTATGTTGACATTTCACCTTATGGTTTAGTATTTTTTATACTTCTACTTCAGTGTTTTTTGTACTGGTAAAACATTTGTACTGGTAGTATATCCTGGGTGTTTTTTGAGAACAGGGTACATATATGCCCCGTCCCTGCATTCCCTTGGATTAAGTGGGACTTCCATGAGAGGATCTCTTTTGTTTCGGGAACTAAAAAGAGGAAAAACTCCTCGATCGCAGCTGTGTCTCTGCAGTAGTTCATCAGCTGAGAAGTGTTTTTGACACAGAGATTCAGACTGACAAAAACAGCAGCTCAGATCTTTACCTATTTATGAGCCACTCCACTGCCCTCTGATGTGAGCCGTTCCTATTGGCAGACCAAGGTGTTTTTCCAGAGCCCAGCTGCTCCAGGAGCTGTGAATAATAGGTGCAATTTGAGATTGTTGTCAATTTTTCAAATAACTGACAAACGCATCCTGGACGATTGTTCTCAGATGGGGGGTGGGGGAGGGG